GTAGTTCAGCAGTTCGAGACCTGAGTTGCTGCATGACGGAGTGAGCTCCCGTCTCTAGTTCCAGCTCCTGCCAACCTAGCAGTTCGAAAGCAAAGAATTGCAAGTAGATAAAGAGGTACCACTTCGGTGGGAAGGTAACAGCGTTCCGTGCGCCTTGGTGTTTAGTCATGCCGGCCACATGACCACGGAAATGTCTTCGGACAGCGCTGGCTCTTCGGCTTTGAAACGGAGATGAGCACCGCAACCCTAGAATCGGACTCGACTGGCTTTCGAGCAAGGGAACCTTTACCTTTACTATACAACAAAACAAAAAGGTTTTGTTGAAACCAGCCTTAAGTACTATGGTTGAAAGGTGTGGGGGGGAGACATCCTTTAAATATAAATGTAAACCAAATGACTGATCGTGTGACCCTTCTTCGACAAATACAGTGAAAGGTAGGGGCTGTGGCTCAGTGGTAGAGCATCTGCTTGGCATGCGCAAGATCCCTGGCATCTCCAGTTAAAGGATCTGTCAGTAGGTGATGTGAAAGACCTTCTGTCTGAGACTCTGGAGGGCTGCTGCCAGTCTGAGTAGACAATACTTAATGGGCCAACGATCCGATTCAGTGTAAGGCAGCCTCATCTGTTCCTGTGTTCACTTTCTAAGCCCCATTGATGGGAGTGCGCTAGCGCAGTTATAAGCAGACTTACTCCCTTCTAAGTCCATTGCAGCCAGTGGGTTTAGAGAAGGGTGTAACCCTGGTTAGGATTCAGCTGTTGAGCACCTATTTAATTCCCTATTGAACTCAATAGAACTTTAAAGTACTTGGTCCTGGTTGCATCATGCCTAGCATAGTTATCCCATTGTTTATTATTAGCTAAGAATCTTCTCAGTACAGCTGACTGTGGAAGATTCCTTTCACTCCTGCATTGGTTCTCTTGGTTGCTGATGTGCTCTGACATCACAGCTCACTAGAATGACTTCTCTGGCTGGTATGGGCTTACCTGCTGTGATTCATATTTTCAGAATGAGTTTAGTACCAAGGAGGTTTTGATGGAATCTGAATTCCAAGGTCTGTGTGACATAAAACCATGGGCTCTGTGGGCTTTTGGTCCAACAAGTTTTCCAATCAAAACAAACAATAATTCCTGCTTAGTATGCAGTTGATCTCAAGCACATTCCTTGGAAGAAAGTGCAAGTACTTAACAGGACTCAAGCAGTGTTCCATCTAAGCTGATTTAGTGTGAGCTAGCTCATAGTTTTTTAGCCTCCGGCTCACACATTTTTGTCTTAGCTCAGGAAGGATGGCTCCAGAGCAAACTGATTTATGCAGTAGCCAAATCGCTCACTCACACTTTAATGCCAGTAGCTCACAATGTAGAATTTTTGCTCACAAGACTCCACAGCTTAGAGGGAGCATTGGACTCAAGGTATACACTAACAGATGGTGGCTGTTTTTCCTTCTCTTTCAGTCATTCCCAAGCTTAACAATGTCTTCAGCATGGAGATCGATGGCTTCGTATCCTATATCTTTGGCAGCAAGATCCAGTTCAAAGCCAGTGAACGTTCTGCAAAGAAGTTTAAAAGCAAAGGGACTATTGATCTGTAAATAGTTTTAAAATGCAGAGACCTGGTTACTACTCATGGGCGATGGGAAGTGTTGATCATGGCACATAAACTAAAACTGGCCATAAACCCCCAAAATATCTTTGCCATGTTACATGAAATATGAATACAACTTGTTCCTGACATTCATGAATGTGTCTGTGTTTTAAGCGTCTGTTTTTTACTTTTTTGTAAATGATTTTGTATTTATAAATTCTGTGTTTAAATAAAATTATTCTACTTTGTGACTTTGAGATAGCATTTCTGTCTTCTATAAGAGCATGCATTAAGAAGTTGAGAGCTTTTTAAAAGGCATTTTATAAATAAACTTTGGGCTTGGTGAAATGCAAAGAGGGGTTTTTTTTAAGTACTTCAGATCTCTTTCCTGTTCATGAATGAATGATCCAATAGTCAGGACATACTAGATAGTGTAAGAAAAGAACAAACCAGCTGCCGAAGATACAATCACTTATTTTTTACTTACAAATGTGCATGTCATTCTACAAAATCGCAAATCTAACAGGGCTGCCCCACAGAACTTAGAATCTAGAAGTGTCTGGATGTTACAAAATACGTGCATGTTGGTGCCAGAGAGAGGTAGGATTGAATCCATTAGCCCAGCCCCCATCTCCTCTTTTGTTGGAATGTTTCCAATGAGTAATTGAAATGTTGAATTCGCTCCCACTGGACATAGCAACGGCTACAAGCGTAGATGGCTTTTTAAAAGGATTGGACAAATTCGTGGAGGAAAGGACCATGAAAGGCCTCTAGCCATTGTGACTAAAGAAAACCTCCATATTCAAGAAGCAGTCAACTTCTGAAATCACTGGGGGCAACATCCAGGGAAGACCCTAGCTTCTGTTCCCTGTAGTTGGCCCTCCAGAGGAACTGGTTGGCCACTGTGTGAGACAGAATGCTGGATTAGATGGGCCACTGGTCTCATCCGTCAGGGCTGTTTGTTCCGTCTTTTGCTCCATATGAATAAATGGGGGCCTTCCCTCTTGGATACAGATTGCATGCTTCAAAATGTGTGTACATTCTCAATTCTCAACAGTCAGGGGAAAACGAACTGGAAGGAAAATTAGTAAAATGGTGAAGGTGGAGGAGGAACAGAGAAAGAAGGCAATACGAACAAATATAGGTATATGAATTTGGCCCTTGTTTTGGAGCCTTACTGAGGGGGGAAATATATTAAGTGGGAAATATATTAAGTTCAGCTTTACTTGTTCACTCTGCTTACACACTGCTTTATAAGCAACCTGGGCGTAGTGCCTAGTCTACTGTATTCCTGAGCTACGTTTTCAGAACAGAAATTTAAATTGTGTCTCTGTAAACTGTGTGCTCCCAGCAGTCAGGAAGATCTTACAAACAGAAATCTAAGGACCCAAAAAGACGATGCAATGGACAAAATACACCGCGTCTCGAGAAAGCTTATGCTGCTAGAAAGGCATTCATCTTTAAATTGTCGTGAGATTCTTTTATCATAAACCTCCAGACTAGACTACTGCAGTGCCCTCTGTGTGGGACAGCCCTGGAAGACAGTTTGGAAGCTTCGTGTCATAAGTTTACCAGCAAAACTCTTCTCTGAGTGCTCCAAGATCAGCACTAGTTAACCATTTGCTTCTGGGCCCAATTCAAGGTGTTGAGTTTTGTGGCCTGCAATCCCCGTACCTATCATCTAATATACACTCATGAGTCAGTCATGTTTCTTAGCCCTTCTTGGTGTACTTTTTAGGTGCTTGCTCCATCTCAGCCTGGAACAGGGGATTTTCAGTTACAGGGTAGGTGCTGTGGAAAATTTTGCCTGATGAAGGGACAAAGGGCATTCTCACTTTTTACTTTTCATAAAGCTGTGTTATTTCAGAGAGTATTTTGTGGGAGATAGAGGTGTTAGTTTTTGAAGGATTTTTCTATGTAGGAAAAAACTGCTTCCTCTCTGGACCTGCTCCACGGTAAGACCAAGCAAACAGACAATTAAAGCAATGCATACCAATTGAACGTATCAATAAAACAATCCACATGAAACAATCAAACCAAATCAAAAACAGCCAATAAAAACAAGCCAATAAAAGCACATAAAATGCAGCAGTGTAAAACGATTTTGATACAACAGACTTTAGGCTACAAGTTGATCATAGAAAAGCTAAAGGAAATGGAGCTTCTTAGTTAAATGCCCAGGTAAACAGAAAAGTTTTGGTGCTGAAAGTAAAGTAAAAAGGTAAAAGTTCCCTTGCTCGAAAGCCAGTCGAATCCGACTCTAGGGTTGCGGTGCTCATCTCTGTTTCAAAGCCGAAGAGCCAGCGCTGTCCGAAGACGTTTCCGTGGTCATGTGGCCGGCATAACTAAACACCAAGGGGCACGGAACGCTGTTACCTTCCCACTGAAGCAGTACCTATTTATCTACTTGCAATTTCTTGCTTTCGAACTGCTAGGTTGGCAGGAGCTGGAACTAGAGACGGGAGCTCACTTCGTGAGGGCTGCTGAAAGCAGGGGGCGGGGCTTGCTGCATGTGCCCGCCCCCTGGGCTTTTTACTGCCGGAGCTCCGCTCCTGTGTGCTTTTACAGGAAATGACCCCTGGTTGCAATCCTAAACACACATTCTCAAGAGTGATATTCTGTTGTCGTCAGTGGGATTTAGGTTTGTTTGATACCATCGAAAAGACTACGAAGTGGGTTCTAGATCAAATTGAGCCTGAAGTCTCCTAGAAGCTAAAATGACTAAATCGAGGCTATCGTACTTTGGTCACAATCTGAGAAAACAAGAGTCCCTGGAAAAGACAATAATGCCAGGAAAAGTTTAAGGCAGCAGGAAAAGAGGAAGAGCCAACATGAAATGGATTGATTCAATCAAGGAAGCCACAAAGGCCCTCAGTTGGCAAGACCTCAGCAAGGCTGTTAACGATTAGGGCGTTCTGGAGGACATTCACTCATAGCTGCCTTATCTGTGTAGTCTACCCTTCCCTCTTCCCGCCTTGCTTGCAGCTCAGCAGCTTGCCGTAAACATGCCAGGGAGCCGTGGGAGCTAGACGCCATTATCAGTCTGGCCTTGTGCATTAGGGAGGGCTTGGGGTCCACATTTGGTGTGAATTTTTCTGCTCTCAGGAAACCATGGGACTCTCCCGCTCATTATGTAATCACCCACCGGGAGTCTTCCCGCGCGCGTGCGCTCGAAGTTCATTTGCTTAGCTAATTGCCCTGCCCAGCTATATGTATTGGGATGTTCCCGCCTTCTAGTTATTCCTAACAATAATCCTGTAGACATGGTACCAGTCTTGTACACTAATAAACATAACGCTTCTTGAGAAACGTGTGTGAAGAGTGACTTGCTGTGGAACCCGACAGGCCACCATCAATGCTCCCTCTAAGCTGTGGAGTCCTGTGAACAAAAATTGTCCTTTGTGAGCTCCTGGCATTAAAGTTGTGAGCGAGCGATTTGGCCGCTGCATACATTAGTTTGCTCTGGGGCCATCCTTCTTGAGCTAAGACAAAAATGTGTGAGCCAGAGGTTAAAAAATCTGTGAGCTAGCTCACACCAACTCAGCTTAGAGGGAACACTGGTCTCCATAAGACGGAAGCAACTTGACAGAACTTAATACTCACACACACACCCCTCCATAGATTTTTAGGGTGGGACAGCCACTTTAAATTCAAAGTTAAGCAGTTCTGTTTTGCCAAGCATTTGATACAACTTACTGAACTGTCTCCCTTCCTGTTTCAACATTCTGTTTGTTTTCCCCCCTCCTTGCTTTATTTGAACCTCGTTCTGTGCCTTCCCCAAACATAATGATGGCAGTAAAATTGTGATGATCTTACTTGTGGGAAAACCTGTTGAAAACCCAGATAAAAATTAAGTTTGCTTTTTTTAAAAGCAACACAACACTTTAACGTGTTGCTTTTTTATGCTGTAATGTTGAGATATTTTTTAAAAAAGAATCTTGCATTCATTTCTTTTGTGTTAAAGTTTGGGGACAGGGAAGATGAGTTTGGGCACAAGGAAGTGTTCAAAAACTGAATTCTTTTCACTATTTGGAGCTGGTGAATGACAGCCTAGAAAGGAACGGTATTGTTTTGCAATTCCTCCCCCCATCTCTCTTTAAAAAAAAAAAAAAGTCCCCTTTTCACAGTTTAATGGGCAGGTGTTTACCACTGAACAAGTCAACAACTTAAAAAAAAAGATTATGTAAATGCAGCTATATTCTAAGGCAAAAGTACCTCCTTGCTTCATTTGTGGCACATTCCGTTGAACCGTGTAAACTCCTGCGTCTCGGATGTGTCTCCAAAATTCAGATGGAAAATAATTCTTTTGATACTTCTATAAGCAATACCGGCAGAGAGCTTTGTGATGCAAAGTTTGAGCCATTGTTTTCTCTTTTGTGGCGAGGGAAAGGAGGGAGTGGCCCTCTGACGGAGCGCAATTCTCAAGAGTAAACGTGTGTTTCAAAAGATTAACTCTACTGAATATTTTTTTTAAAAAAAACCCAAGAAATTAGAATGCACATTGAAATTGAAATGAGAAAGCATAGCAGGGCATTCAACGGGGCAGGATTGTAAATAAGGGCAAACCGGAATGCTTCTTTTCTTTGCCACGAAAAAATGCATAAAACATGACGTTTTTTCAGACTTCCCACCTTAAAGCGAGTTTGACCAGGTATGGCCCAAGAACTAAAACCGATCAGTTTCGTGTTGCTGTTTATCATTTCAAAGTTTTTGTCCTTGTGATGCTGTGCAGCACAGTTGCCAGTCTCCAGGTGGGGAATGGAGATCTCCTGGAACTACAAATGACCTCCAGACTACGTGTGTTGCTTACTATTAATATATTTAAAACCTTTATTCCACTTATCCTGGAGAAAATGGCTCAGCTGGAAGCTGGTCTTAAAGATGCCAGTCCCCAGGTAGGGGTGGGGGGATACCCTGATTTCAAAGGCTTCTGTTTGTTGCCAGCCAGCCAGCAGGCCTGGAGCTGGCAACCCTATATGCCCTCATTATTTCATCACAGGGCATAGTAGGGTAGCCAGGTCTGGGTTGGAAAATACCTGGACACTTTGGGGGTGGATCCAGGAGAGGGCGGGGGTTGTGCCTCAGCATGGCACAGTGCCATCGAGTCAGTTTGGTGTAGTGGTTAAGTGCGCAGACTCTAATCTGGGAGAACCGGGTTTGATTCCCCAC